TTTTCTTGCAATTTTGAGTAAAAAAAATTCAATACTTTCTTATTAGATCGGTTCCCGTATTCGGATGGCCCTGAAAAAAGGAGTAACTGGCGGTACATTGTTGCAAGCTTCTGGAACTGGAGGATCTGGACGATTCCGCTTGGCTGACAAAGCTGAGCCAAAGCCCAAGATATCTGCGGCCAAAAAATCCTCAGCCACTGGAGCTGCTAAGCCCAAGAAGTCCTCTTCCACAAAGCCAAAGAAAGCTACTGGTACCAAGACGAAAAAGGCATCTGGATCCAGCTCCACCCCAAAGAAGGTAAGAAAAAATCTCATTTTTAGCCATATTTGTACGTTAATTGCTGCGCTTGGCAAAAAGCCAATGTGCGCGCGTCATGGCGCGAAAACAAATATTCAAATTTTTGGTGAAAAGGCGCATTTTTTCTAAACTTTATACCATATATTCTATGATATTTTTTCAGACCAAGTCCGCATCATCTGCATCCAAGCCTAAATCTCCCAAGAAGAAATCCACAGCATCCAAGTCAAAGACCACAAAATCCTCCCCCAAGAAGAAGGCCTCATCACCCAAGAAGAAGTCCACAACCGCCAAGAAATCCACGAAGCCCAAGACCCCCAAAAAGCCATCGGCTAAAAAAGCCACCACCAAGGCCTAAGCACAGCACCATGAATACCTCATCTACGATCTCATCGTGTATATATTAACCCGTTGAATGTGTGTATTTTTGTGTGCTTACGTACCTAACTACCTCTTCTCAATCGATCGATCACAATTTGCCTTTGGTTTACGATGGAATCGAACCCGTAGCAATGTTGTTTTTTTCTTTGTTCCAGTTCCAATTCTTATACGAGTCCTAAGGACATAATTGATGTAATAAAGAATTGAAATGAAATGGTTTTACAGACTTTGGAAATTACAGACGCCGAAAAGGTAAAAAATCAATAAATCAAAAACAAAGAAAGTGGCAATAGTAATTCTTTACTCAGTCAACAGGCACAAAATGAAACAGATTTCAATCCATTATCTTACATAACAAAACAAAATTTTTCTTATATTATTTACTTTGGGATTTTTTCCCGATTACTTGCAAATCAGGGCAGAAGATATCACAACCCCATCTGTTTACCGAGCTTAGCCCTCTCCCTCCTCCCTCCCGCCCCCTCTCAAAATCGAAATATCCTTCATCATATCCCCCACTGTTCAAACCCTTCGATGGCTTTGTTTATACGGTAACAGCTGCGCGCTTGGCACCGAGCCAAGCTTGCTGCGCGTCATGGCGCGAACGCAAAATATTCAAATATCGCGCTGCCCGGGGAAAGCGCTACGTACGACAACTGTGCTAAGGTCATCGCATGAGGTCAGCGACATGCTGTGTGAAGATTTGACAATTATGTAGCGTAACACACCGTACCAGTATCGATTGGTAGAAAAGAGGGGGGATTACGGTAAATTTGAACTATCAAAAAAAACCTTATCCAAATTTATCTTCAAGTGCGCTACGGAAAAAAGAAAGGCTACCAAAAATTTTTGTTTCATGTACCTTTTTCGGTGTGATTACTGGATAGTGTAGAACTACAGTATATCAAAAAATTATTGCTATTGCGGTATGAAGACTTCCCAAATTTTTTGCTGCGACGGCTGAAAAAGAAAGTTTGCAGCGAAACCGAATTTTACAGCAAAATTGATGTTTTTTACAGTTCTGTTATAATTTTCTATGTTGGTGCCGAAAGGACAGGGAAAAGATTTTTGCTAAATTCAGATTTTATAATAGCGTATTGCTATTTGTATGAATTTTTTAGTGTGACCGCTGGAAAGAGAAGGAAATTTTTGGTGCAACCACTGGCAAGAGGGTGGATGTTTATAGTAAAAAATGCTTCTTCATATATTTTTTGGGATCCGATTGGAAGGATTACGGTAAAAAATCGAATTTGAAAAAGAATACTGTTTCGTAGGTGAATTTGGTAGCGCTTTACTAGGAAATGGGCTGATGAGGCTAAATTCGGACATTTACCAAAAAATTGCGGTTTCAAATAAGTTCTTTGGTCGACATGCGAAGAGAAGGGACTACGGTGATACTAAATTGTAACGAAAATTTGCTGTTTCATAACAATTATTTGAGCGCGAGCATGGGAATGGGAATGATTGGAAAGCCGATGGCTCTAAAATCGCTATTTCATATAAATTATTTGGTGGGTTACGGTAGCAACTTTTTTGTGTAAGAAAAAATATTGTTTCATATGACGTAATTGGTGAATTACTGTAGAATGCTGTAATCAGAAAAATTGCTGTT